GTTATTATTATATAGTTATATTTATTAGTATAGTATTAGTTATTCTCTTTATTATTGTATTAGTTATAGAAATATTATTAGCTAGTTATATATAGCACAGTAATATTGCACGAGTGTCTCCAAGTGCCTCTGTATGAGTGTCTCTAAGTGCCTCTAAGTGTCTCTACATAAGTGCCTCTAAGTGCCTTTGCACAAGTGCCTCTAAGTGCCTCTACACAAGTGCTTCTAAGTGCCTCTTACACGGTTTAGCCATTACACCTCTTATGTATAGAAAAGTTATAAAAAGAGAGCCTTTGCCCTTTCTACTCAAGTTAGAGAATTCCCTACCTTCTCATAGTATCTAGTCTTACTTTCTTACTATTCTTGTCCTTGTATAAAGTGATATACTTTCTCTAGAGTAAACCTAGTAGGTGAGGTTATTCTCCTTGACCTATAATAAATAAAGTGTTTAATTATATACTGTCCCTATGTCGAACCATTTGCCTCCTGCTAGTAGAAGTAGTGCATATTCTACTTTCACCCAGTGTACACCCCAATAGCAGGGTCTCTGCACCGGGTGACCTTGTTACCTTGCTACGTGTTGACCAAGAAGGCTGTAGCATTGTAACAATATGTAATTTATTTTTATTTAAAGTTTGAGACTTTGTTAACATGTTTTTTCTATTGTCAAGTTCAAATTATAAAAAAATAAAGACTAAAACCAGCATTATTATAAAGATTTTTATTTCTTAAAAAGATAAGTATAAAAAGCTATGATCTAATTAACTAACTCAAAATAAGTTTTAATACTTTTCCTTTTTGCAATTTTAGTAAAGCTTCATCATGTTCATATTGGGCTGCTTCACTAAAATCATTTTGCACAATATATTGCTCAAGTATTTCTATTGTATTTAATACTTCTTGATGACTGATTGATATATTTTGTATTGTTATCATTTTTAGCACTTTCATTCTCAGGTTCAAGATTAGTAGCCAAACCCAAAATTTCTTTATTATTCAATACTTTATGTATATTCTTTTTATCTAGGTAATTGATATATCCTTAAGATCCATAATGTTTTAAAAGTTAAGCATTTTAATATCTAAATAAAGTTTATTTATCAATTTGTTGTCATTATCATCAATAAAGAATTTTTCATTATTTTGGATATCTGGAAGAATTTTTGTATATTAAAAATAGTTACATATTGTTTCTGGTATTACTTCATTTCAAGCCCAAGCAATAAACCTTATACTATCAAAAACATTTATTTTTTCATTTTTTTCAGCTTTATATTTGTCAAACTATTTGATAAAGTAACTTTGGTAATAATACTTGAAGGATATAATAATGCTAGCATCTATAGGCTAGATATGGAATATTGTATATGAAAATAAGGTATGGATAGTTGTATTATAAAGTTTTAAACTAGTAGTAAAATGAACTTTTGTATCATCTAATAAAAGAATTATCTTATAGCTAGCTATTTTTAAGTCAAATTTTTTAAGCCAGGTTTAAAACAAAATTATTGTTATTTATATTTTATGACTTGTATTATATTTAATACCAAGTCTATTATAATTGATATCTTTGAAGCAACGTGGGTTGAAGGACTTATCAATTACAAATATTTTTATTTTATTTATACTATTAGTACAAAGTGCTAAAGTTAATTACTCCAAATCTTTTTTTTTTCCTTTAAGATATTTAGTAGCTAAAATAATATCAGGTTTAAAACTAAAAAAAGAAAAAAAAGTTAAAAATAAGTATTAATTAATACAATATAATTTGTTATACAGTATCAATTAAATAACCCAGCTTTGTTTATATTTTTTTTTTGGTATTAAGGTGACCTCTATAGCTGAGAACTTTTTATTAAGTAAAGATAATGTTATACAATTACAACAAGGATATATTAAGCCACACATGTACCTTTTGAGTACCTATTTAATTAGTGATCCACCAGTCAACCAGAAAATGATCATAGTAAAATGTGACTCAAATTACTTATAAAAATTAAGGTCTCCTAATGTGGCATGCACGCATTTAAAACTTTTTTTATACTAAGTTAATTACTTTTTTAACTTAAGAGACTTTTGTATTAGATGTGTCTTGACAAGCTTTACAAAAGTCTCTTAAGTTAGAAAAGTAATTAACTTAGTATAAAAAAAAGTTTTAGAT